AGAGATGGGTGAGGAAATGAAGGTAGAAGCAATAGTTCCAGAGTCACAATTGAAGAAGAGAAAGAGAGAAGAAGTATGGGCTTTGGCGAAAAAGCAAGACTTTGAAGCTGCGAAGAAGAAGAATGCTGAGAATCGAAGTCTTATTTATAAGAGAGCTAAGGATTATGCTAAGGAATACGATGAACAACAAAAAGAAATCATTCGATTGAAACGTGAAGCTAAACTGAAAGGAGGGTTTTATGTTCTTCCAGAACCTAAATTGCTGTTCATCATTCGAATCCGTGGGTAGGTTTAATTTGATCAAATGTTTGATTTGATTTTTTATTTATTTTTTTGTTGGGTTTTGATCAAATTTTGGAATGTTACAGTATCAATGCAATGGACCCAAAGACAAAAAGTATTTTGCAGCTCTTTCGTCTCAGACAGGTAAAAATGAGGAACTCTTTGAATTTTTTTTAATGCAATCTATTTAATTGAAATTCATCTCATTGCGTTGCTACCACATTAGGATGTGATTGTTTCTTAAGAAACAATGCTTAATGATTATTTATAAAATGTTGCATATGCATAAACTTGGTTAGTGAGGTTTTCATAGTCTCAGACTACACTGTAGATAACATTGAATAGAGTGATGTTTTTAAATCCCACTAATTAAAGAGGAGTGACATCTTAATTTTTAACAATGGTTAGTTATGCATTACATGAAGGCAAAATGTAGATGAAAAAGTCCAGAAGGTACTTTGGTGCAGTAGGCACAATGATTTGTGTCAATGACTTTAAACATTGCTGTAGGTACATTAATGTATTCAAAATCACCTGGATAATTTCTGAGTGGGTTGCATTAATAATTGTAGACTCAGGATTTTTTTGGGGGAAAGATGTAAGCGAACTTGGTGATTTCTTAGTGAAAGAAAACAACCTTATCAAGTTGCATAGGAACTCGCGAAACGACCAATTTTGAGCAAAAAATGTAGGAAAGTGTAGCTTTGGCTGTGTTTTTTCGGTCAACAACTGATCTTCCTCACTAGGCAGTGCTCTCATAGAATTAGAGGGTAATGTTGGAAAGCGTAGTGGGTAGTGGAGGTGATGGGAGTGGCACAAACAAATGTAGATGTTTGATACATGACTATAGAACCTAACCTAAATTCACAGGTCCCAAGTGAATGTAGGGCCTTACACTAGTTTAAGCTTTGAGCGTCAAATCTAAAGTTTACAATTTATAAGGTTGGGAGTATTTTTATTTTTTTATTGAAATGGTTGAGAGTTTAACACCTGTTCTATCTGTATTGGTGTTGACCTTGAATGTATGGATAACTTAAGTTCAACCTTCTTAGTCTACCACATTAAGTCATTAACACAGTATATAATGCAACTATACAAGTTTTTTGTTTGTATGTGAAACTAATTTCAAATAATTTAGGTTCATTGTTGTTTCATATGTTAATACACTAGAGATATGTGTTAAAGTGATTAAGGGTTTTGCATCATGGGCAGACATTGTCTTATGCCAATTTGCAGAGCAAAGGCGTCTGATAACATAAACATCAGATGGCGTAATTTGCATTGAAGGTTGGCCATATGCATAAAGCAATTCTCCGTGCCTCTCAAATTTTATTTGTTTTGAATAGGCCTCGAACAAATTGCCACATTCCCTAATATTTTTATTTTCTTAGTTCTAGTAGATCAACTTTTATGTGCATCATGTAGTTATCTATTAATCTGACGTCATACACATCAATGAGGTGGTCTTTGTATCTCGTGTGTATTCCTTAGTTTTCTCCAATTTGCAGAGCAAAGGCGTCTGATAACATAAACATCAGATGGCGTAATTTGCATTGAAGGTTGGCCATATGCATAAAGCAATTCTCCGTGCCTCTCAAATTTTATTTGTTTTAAATAGGCCTCGAACAAGTTGCCACATTCCCTTCTAATATTTTTATTGTCTTAGCTGTAGTAGACCATCTTTTATGTGCATCATGTTGTTATCCATTAATCTCACAACATACACATCAATGAGGTGTTCTTTGTATCTCGTGTGTATTCAGTTTTTGCCAATTTGCAGAGCAAAGGCGTCTGATTATATATACTTTTCAGATGGCGCAATTTGCATTGAAGGTTGGCAATATAAAAAAGCAATTCTCCGTGCCTCTCAAGTTTTATTGTTTTGAATAGGCCTCGAACAAGTTGCCACATGGTCTTCTCTTTGTTTTATCTTTTTAGTAAGTTTGTATATCGTGCATCATGTATAAATCGGCTCTTAACATATACATCAGTGGTGTGATGTAATCATTGAGCGTAATGCTTAAACGTTGTTATATGCCAATTTGCAGAGCAAAGGCGTCTGATAATATAAATATCAAATGGCTCAATTTGCATTGAAGGTTGGCAACATGAATGAGTGATTCTCCGTGCCTCTCAATCTTTCTCCATTTTGAATAGGCCTCGAACAAGTCCCCACATTATCATTTAATTCTATTTTTATAGTTATAGTAGGTTTGTTATTCTGTATATCATGTGTATGCATTTAACTTAGTATTGTTGAAGGTGCAAGGGCGTAATCTTAAGCCTGCCATTTCTCTCACCTTGAATGCATAAATGACATGATTAGTTTGGAAAAGTGCAAACTTAGTTGGGATGTCTTAGACCCCTACTCCCTTTTTGTTGGTTCTGTTTTTTCTTAAGTTGCATATATTGGTAATAAGATGTTAACTAGTACACTAAGAACTTACAATAGATACACACAAAACAAGATGATGCCGAACTGAAGTTGGAATTACTTATATTTTCACATAAGCTAATATTGGGAAACTCAAAAAATGTTTAAGTGAATAATGAGTTGTGAATTGTGATAATTTATTTATGTAATTTAGTAGTACTCTTATATCACAAGTTGTATGGACACTTTCTAAGTCTGGTTTTTTTTTTAGATATTTAATGGGGTTTTCCTGAAAGTTAACAAGGCGACAGTGAATATGTTGCGCAGAGTGGAGCCATATGTTACCTATGGGTAAATGTGTTATCGCTTCAAATGTTATTATATTTGTTTCTGCCAGTCACCAGATTCATTCGTTCTCTCCATACCTAAGTCATTTGGTTTTATTCTGTCAGATATCCAAATTTGAAGAGTGTCAAGGAGTTGATTTACAAGAGGGGCTATGGAAAGCTTAACAAGCAAAGAATTCCTTTGACCGACAATTCCATCATTGAACAGGTCTAGAAGATTCTTTAGCTGTTATCTTTCAAA